CCTATAGGCCCCACACCGATGTTCCCTAATGTGTGCATTCTCCTCTCTCTCTTTCTCTTTCTATCTCTCTCTCTCTCATTTAGGATTTCAACATATGACTTTTGGGGAACATCCATAATACCTTGGTTGAAGAGAAATCCTGAGGATGATTTCTGCCAGCTGAGAGGCAAACAAGGTGGAATTAAAGGAAGAAATTACAGCCCAAAACACATACAAAAGTTGAACGGGACTTGGGGGAGCCAGATGTGAGCAGCAGGAAGATGCTCTGGGGAAACCACCAGGTGTTCGGTTTGGAGTCAGGAAGAAGTGAGGGGAGAGAAAAGTTGTGGGGCCTGATGCGGCAGGGGCCAGACATGGCTGGGATTTCCCTTTTCTGAGTCCTGCATGGAAACAGAGATTAAGAAACCGGTTCTAAGTGGAGGTGGCCAGGGATTGAGAAATAATAGAAATAAAGAGAGAAGACACAGAGATAGACTTAAGGCTGGGAGCTGGGTGGGCCACCATTCTGTCTACAGGAGAGGCAGGAAGAAGACAACCCCTCCCAGCACATTTATTTTATACCCTCAATACCAGGAAGCTATCATCAACTTATTTGCATTCTTAAGTAGGCCCTAGCATGCCTGGATTTACATATCTAGTCCCACCTCTGCCGACACTTGGGCTGATATGAAGGCCTAGCTGACAACATGTCACCCATCTTGGGGAAATATGTTCCCAAGGCGTGGCTTTGCGTATGCCTTGAGTTCAGCTGATGATAATTAAGGGAAATGCCCATGTGTCTTCCCAGGCAGCCCTCTACAAAAAGTAAAACCATGTAAAGGTTTGTGTCTGGATGGGGTGTGATATAAGCACTTGGAACCAGATATTTATAGAAACGTATGCTATATACGTTTAAAACGTATGAATAATTTTTAGAAGGCTAAAAATAGAGTGTAACTTCAAAACCATTTGTGAGGAAAACAGAACAAATGTTATTCAATTTTTTATAAAGCTGGAAAGGATGGGATGAGAAAAGGAGCAAGCAAGGATGGTAAGTTGAAAAATGTAAAATAAGATCAAGGGACATAGCCAAGCATCATATCAGTAATAGCTACGAATTAATCAAATTTTCCCAATAAATACAAATTATAGCTTGTATTTATGTCCTATCCCTTTGAGAGTCAAAAGGATAGGACATTTGGAAAACAGGTTGCAAGATACGGTGTGAAGGAGAGAGTTCCATGATGTGACTGCAGCCAGGCCCTCCAGCGAGACCCAGGCCAGACAGAGTGCTCCTGGAAATCCTCCGAGACTGTCTGATGGTGATCCATGCTTTCCTTCTGACGTAAACCAGAAGCTCTCCCCGGGGCCCCAAGCTGTGCTGGTTTCTTTCCGGGGCAAGCATTTCAGGCATTTTTCCCATACCTAGGACAGGTCACACCGCAAAACCCTGTTCATCTTGCCCTGTTGCATGGAACTCTGGTGCCTGTCAAATAGCCCACGTTGTCTTGCAGCTGCTCAAGGTGCACTTTGGATGTGTTTCCTTTAATGAACTCTGTTCATTGCCAGACTGGAGTGGCCGCCTCTTTCTCCAATCTTTCCCAGCTCTCTGTTTTCAGAGGTCTGTTTTCAGTCTCCAGGCTTTCCCCTGCGTCTGCACGTACGGGTTGTGAACACACACACACACACACACACACACACACACACACACACACACACACACATATTTGGAGGTCCAGAATGAGAGAATGAGAAGAAGCAATATTCAATGAATTAAAAATGTTTCCCATAATTAATGAATGACAATACCCAGGTTCAGAAAGAACAAACATTCCAAGCCAGCTGGAATGAAATCAGCACCTATATACATCACAGTGAAACTATCGAAAACCAAAAGACAAGCAGCAGGTCTGAAAAACCGAAAGAAAAACAGATCACTGACACAAGAATAGTGATTACATTGACAGCTAGCAGTGGAGGGATATCTGAAATGCAAGAAGTATGTCAATGTAAGAAATATTCAAACATGTAGAAAATGTTTGTGGGTTTATTTGAGCCAAATTGACAATTGCCAGGAACCAAAAGCTCAAAGGATAGAGAATATGCTCCAGAAAAAAAAAATGGCAGTTCTGCACCCTTCTTTATATATTATAATCAAAAGAGAGGACGTAAGTGGGTTACACGAAATCCATTGGTGATAGATTAGGGAGATAGGAGAAAGCAACGAAAATGGGGGAAGCAGAACTTCTGAGGCTGGATAAAAAGTAAAATAATAGACATAAAGTTCTTTCACATAAGAGGGTACAGGATAGTTAGTCAACAATAACTCAATAACAACGAGGGAATTTGTGGTCTCCCAATCTGGCATGGTATTTGTGCATGAGGGATCCAGAAAAAGGAACTTACTTTGACATTCCAAAGGTATGGTGTCATAGATGCAAAAAGACAGGCTTAACTAAGGTAGAGACTGACTTTTGTCAGGGAAGATTCTAGCGTAAGGTATGACTGCCTGCCATAAACTGCTTATAATTAGTAAGATTTCATTTCAGATCATCCTCTGCAGTTACTCACGTCTCTGAGTTTATAAAAGCCACCAAGCAGGCCTCCCCTGAGCTTGTCAGGTTTAGTCTGTGGCCGCTTTTCGTCCACAAGAACAATGAGCAAGGAAATGGTTACACTTGTGAATAAGTCAAAACAATATGAAAGTATAACAAAAATATCTACATCATTGCATTAAAACAAGCAAGATAGGGAGAAAATCCTGAGCAACAAGAGCATGGAAGTTAATGGAAAAAATCAAATGTAGCATCCTTCCAATGCTTTCGAGAATTTTAAATTTAATTGAATAGGCATATTAAATGCCCTAACTCAGTGCTCAGCAAACCGCGGCCCTAACTGATTTGGCTCAGTGAATAGAGCATCGGCCTGTAGACTGAAGAGTCCCTGGTTCGATTCTGGTGAAGGGCACATGCCCTAATTATGGGCTGAATGCCCAGTAGGGGGCATGCAGAGGGCAGCAGATCAATGATTCTCATCATTGATGTTTCTATCTCTCCCTCTCCCTTCCTCTCCCCTACTGGTGAACCTCCCATTACCCTGATTGGCCCCAATTACTGGCCAGGCCGAGGAACCCCAACTATGCATGAATTCATGCACCAGGTCTCTAGTGCATACATAATCACAAAACTGTCTTATAAAAAATGGAACAGCCCTGGCAGGCTTTGCTCAGTGATTAGAGTGTCAGCCTGCAAACTGAAGGTTCCCAAGTTCAATTCCAGTCAAGGGCACGTCATTCCTGGGCTACGGGTTCTCTCTCTCTGTTGGGGCATGTGCAAGAGGCAATCAATTGATGTGGCTCTCTCACATTGATGTTTCTCTCTCTCTCTTCTCTCTACTTCCCCCTCCCTTTCACTCTTTCTAAAATCAATGGAAAAAATATCCACCAGTGACAATTAACACCACCACCAACAATAAAAATGGAATAGTTACTGGGCATCATTTATAAAAGTGGCAGTTTTATTGAATTCAAGTTTTGTTTTCAAAATCAAATTTAGTAAATTAGTCCGTGTATTCAAATGGAATTTTAGATTATAAATTTCATCTGCGAGACCTGAAAGTACAGTACAAGGCAGGTTCACAGAAGCATCCACAGTTCAGTGTCTAAGAAACTCCAGGCAGAAAGCAAGAAATACCCAGCATAGCAGACAGACTTGCAAAACTGGAATAAAAGATGTTCAAGAAGATGTGACATGGAGCAGAGGAGTGGCCCAGTAAGAAATTTATTGAAGGACTCTTCAATGTATTATTTGGTAAAAATAAATAAATAAATAAGTAAATAAATAAATAAATAAATAAATAAATAAATAAATAAATAAAGGATTTCTATCACCACCCTATTCTCCCCCCTCCCCCAACACACACACATACACACACTCCCTTGCAAAGTTGGTCTTACATTGGTCACTATTAAGAACACCTGGCCCTCCAGGGGCTTCCTACACATGGTGTTACAAGAGATCCCAGAATCTCCCCACCTCCCATACCGAAATGCATCTCTTTTGCTCAAAATTGGATGCAAATTTCATACAAAACTGACAAGTTATTGAAGAGGGAAGGAGAAAAGAAGTAGTGTAGACGGAAGGGAATGAAAGAGTGGTCCTGAAATGGAAATATGAGACGGGCTGGGAGGTGGCTAAGGGGACAATTATGTGAATGGAGACATCTCAAAGTGAAAGGGGGAGGAGAGAGAACATAGTTTGTGATTAAGGGGTTGAGTTGGAGGAATGAAAAACATAAAAATTCCTCTACATAAAAATGTCCAAGCTGTGAATTTATTTTTTAACATATTTTATTGATTTTTCACAGAGTGGAAGAGAGAGGGATAGAGAGTTAGAAACATTGATGAGAGAGAATCATCGATCAGCTGCCTCCTGCAAACCCCCAACCGGGGATGTGCCCGCAACCAAGGTACATGCCCTTGACCGGAATGAAACCCGGGACCTTTCAGTCCGCAGACTGACGCTCCATCCACTGAGCCAAACCAGTGCCGGCTCCAAGCTGTGAATTTAGATGGCTACTAATCTACAACCCATGGCAACAGCACAAATACAGGCTTGCCAAAAGTTGGCAAAAGATGTTAATTAATAAACTAATTAATGAATGAAAGAGGGGAGAAAAGACAACCAGCTTTGGGTTTTAAAGAAGGGGAAGGGGAAAATATCAGAACAATTCCATAGGTATCTACACTTTCCTCTTGACATAGCTTGTATAAAAGTTCTTCTAATATGTACCTTTAATATGAAGGTACATCTGCAACTTGGACTTATATGTCATGAATATGGTTTTATTCTCATCAACTAGGTAAAAGGAGAAAAAATGTACACTTGAGAGATTAGTTTCTAATGTTCTTGAACCCTTTGCTCTGCAAGTGGGAACAGGATCATCAGTATGACAAAGGGAGATTAGCATGCTTACTTAGGCAGAGCACTGCTTCAGGAGAAATTTCCCAGAAGGAGCCAACATTAAAGGGTGTGACTGAAGGTGATTGTGCACCAAACAGGGTTTGAAGGAGCCTGCATGCTCTCTGATAAAATGGTGTCTATAGAGGCCTGGAAAAGCAGACATTTACATTGGAAACAGAGTTTCAAAACAATTCTGGGAGAGGTCAGTCTTCCTGGAGCTGCCAGAGAAGTTGCTTCCCCATGACCAAACTTGGTCCCATTCCCAAGATTCTGAAAACCTTTGCAGCCCCTACTCAGCTTCCAAAACAAGGCCCAAAGAATCTGAAAGCAATTCCAGAATGAATGGCCCAGAGTGCATAAGCTGGTATTACAGAGCGTAAAGAAAGCAGGTCTCTGGACCTTCTAACCACTCACCTAGGAATGCAGATTACTAGGATGTCACATCTGAGTAGCTGGAAGATTATTTTCTCTTCTAGACACAAAGGGTTCTTTCCTAAATCTTGCACAAACTTTTTAATCTGTATGCACTACTCAAAGGACTTTAAAAAATAATTAACATGCCTGCTTACCTCCAAAATAGTTTCCTTCCAAAGGTTTCCCTTATTTAAAAAAAAAAAAAAGTATCAAATTATTAAAAAATTAAAACTCAAGTAATGAGTTTTAACTCATCTTAACATTAAAAACTCAAATAATGCAGAAAGAATGAGATAGTATCACATAGTACAAGGATCTCAAGGTCTGGACAGTTCTTACTAAATGCTATTTTTGTTAAATGTTACAGACTAGCTGTAAACAGAATGAGCTTGACAGGAATTCATCCAATTGGTAGAGGTGGACTTTAAGGTTTTTTTGTTTTGTTTTGATATTTTTTAAATTGTTTTTGGAGATGAAGGGAGAGGGAGATGGAGATAGAAACATTAATGATGAGAGAGCATCATTGATCGGCTGCCTTCTGCACGTCCACCACCGGGGATCAAACCCACAAACTGGCATGTGCCCTTGACTGGAATAGAACACGTGACTCTTCAGTCCGCAGGCTGACACTCTATCCACTGAGCCAAACCAGCTAGGGCAGACTTTAAGGTTTTTTCATGATAGGGCTGTGGCAGAAGAAAAAGAAGAAGAAAAGCCACTTTTCTGGCTGTCACCCTCCAGGCTTTAGGAAAGTTGGGGGTGACAGATTGAAGACCATCTTGGGTGAGTAACCCCAGCCCCCACCATGGGGCCAGCCAAAGGCACACAACAAAGCAGGGGCCTAGCCAATGTTCCTATTGCAAGAGAGTGCCCCAACTGTCCTTCGAGAAGGAGGGAATGGGAAGCTCCTCATTCTTTGCAGTTAGTCAGATAGAAGATAAGGACTGACAGGTCTGGGGGGAGAGGGGAGCTCCCCTTTTGGCTCTAAAAGATAACATTTTAATCCCCCATGAGAAGCCCTGGGTTACTCTGAATATAGAAGAGGAGAAAATTTAATTTCTATTAGATCCTGGAGCCACGTATTCTGTTTGTACTACCCATTGGGCCCTCTCTCCAAGAGAGCCAGACACCTATGAAAGAATCAGCACAGCTGTCATACCCAATCCTCTATATACCCTAGCATTTAGTTTACTTCTTAGGAAGGACCTACTATGTAAATTGGGGGGCTACTATTTGTTTAAATAAAGAAATAATAGAAGTACTGATTCCCGAGGATAAAGGAATATGTTTTATGGCCCTACTCCATCAGATCCTGAAAGACTAGAGAACTACACCCTCAGAAATGTTTGACCATCTTGGTCCAGCTATTTGGATACAAGGAAAAGTCAGAAGGGCAAAGGATAGCCAACCCGTTAAAGTATCACTAAAACAGTAGACAGCTGTCCAGTAGCCTTGAGATGAGCAGATCACCTCAGGTCTGATATCACTCTGTGGGGAGGTGGTGTTCTATACCTGAAGGATGGTTTTGAGATCACTGACTCTGGGAAGGTGCACAGTCATGAATTGCCTTGTCAGAGCCCAACCTAGTCAAGAAGACTCATAAGACTTTAGCTTCTTAGGGAACAGCCTATTAGCTCTCTCATTCTCCAAAGCTCTAGGGTAACTTGGAGGGGGTGGGGGGATCAGCAGGTTGAGGTACTTCTAAGCTCTGCCTCCTCTTTGAGGAGTGGCCCCCACTCAACCTGGGCACAGGCTCTACGGCTTTGGACGCATGCTCACTGGCAGTGGAATGGGCTGACCTGGGCACCTACCCTACTGTGGAAGCAGCGAGATGGAGCAGCCCATTGTTTTGCCATAGCCAGAGGCAACCACGGAAGTTTAGGAACAGAATACTGCATTGCTGGGGTGTGAGCTGGAAGGTGGACAGGTGCAGGGAGGCCACACTACCCAGAACCTTCTTTTAGGCCAGTGGTTCTCAACCTTTCTAATGCGGCGACCCTTTAATACAGTTCCTCATGTTGTGGTGACCCCCAACCATAAAATTATTTTCATTGTTACTCCATAACTGTAATTTTGCTACTGTTAATGAACTGTAATGTAAATATCTGTGTTTTCTGATGTTGTAGGCGACCCTGCTAGCGATTCTCAACCTGTGGGCCTATCCTGGGCCTATCCTCTGTCTCACAGTCCCACCTGGCTGGGACATGGGAACAAGCCTTGGGGAGGCCTTCTCAGCCCATTTTATTTAAGAAGCCAGAAGCCAGGGAGCTGAGAGGAGCCAGGACATGTAACAGTGTCACTGGAAAGGGACCAGGACAGGAGAGGCTGTGCCTCAGGCCAGCTTGCAGTGTGTGGATTCTTGACTTCATGCAGGAAAGTTCACAATACGAGTCCAGGTGATTTTGAGAGTGCGTTTAATGAAGCTGGAGACAGTAAAACAAGGAAGGGCCTCAGATAGGAGAAGGAGCAGGAGAGAGCGAGACAGTGCTGCTTTAGCTCTCCAGAAATATTACAGGAAAGAAGTGAGCCATGCGGAGCTGTGTGGACCACTGAGAAGTAAAAGACACAGTGATAGACGTGGGCCAAGGACAGGCTGCTTTTAGTTCACTGAAAAGTCAAAGAAAGCGGGCCTTGAAGACTTGGATATATAACAAAGGTTTAAGAGGTTAGCCCAGGACAAGTTGCTGCTGCCCACTGCTTCCCTGGTTGCAAGTCTGGTGGAGACCCATAGAGTTTAGGAGAAAGAAAGTCAAGTTCCCATCTAAGCTCCTGTAAGTCCTTTGTCATGAGGGTTCTTATCTGTTTTCTAAAAGCTTGAATCCGAGGGGCTGTTCTAGGACAGTGGTCGGCAAACTGAAGCTCATGAGCTGCGGTTTGCTGCTCTGTTGACTAATGAGTTTGCCAACCACTGACCTAGACTCTCGATTCCAATAATTACAGGCTGTTGTTGTTTCTTGTGATTAAGTCCCTAAGCCCCAGTGGTCAGCAAACTCATTAGTCAACAGAGCAGCAAACCACGGCTCTAGGAGGAGGTCATCAACTTTCCAGGTGTGGTCCTTGAAACCAAGGGAAATAACAGGAGGGAGAATGATTCAATACCATGTTATTGGATAATTCTAGCATCATTATAAAAAATTGTTGGGGAATTTTAAAAAGTCCTCGAATAGCTACAACAATCTTGAGAAAGATGAACAAAATTGGAGGATCACAATACCAAATATCAAGCTATATTACAAAGTCACTGTTCTCAAAACTGCCTGTTTTTAGCACACAAGAACAGACATATAGGCCAATGGAACAGAACAGAGATCCCAGAAATCAACTATTATGTTCAATTAATATTTGATGAAGGAGGCAAGAGCATACAATGGAGTCAAGATAGTCTCTTCAATAAATGATCATAAAAAAATTGGCCAGATACATGCAAAAAAAAAAAAAAATGACCTAAATCACCAACTTACACCATACACAAAAATAAACTCAAAATGGATAAAGGACTTAAACATACGCCGAGACCGGTTTGGCTTAATGGATAGAGAGTCGGCTTGGGGCCTGAAGGGACCCGGGTTCGATTCCGGTCAAGGGCATGTACCTTGGTTGCAGGCATATCCCCAGTAGGGGGTGTGCAAGAGGCAGCTGATCGATCGATGTTTCTAACTCTCTATCTCTCTCCTTTCCTCTCTGTACAAAATCAATAAAATATATATATTTTTTTAAAAAAAGGACTTAAACATAAGATGGGAAACCATAAAAATCTTAGAAGAATCCATAGACAGCAAAATATTAGACATACGCTATAGCAATATCTTTACCTACCAATACAACTCTTAGGACAAAGGAAACTAAGGAGAAAATAAACAAATGGGACTAAATCAAAATAAAAAGCTTCTGCACATCAAAAGAAACCATCAACTAAACAACAGGAAAGCCCACTGCATGGGAGAACATATTTGGCAGTGTTATATCTGATAAAAACATTTATTAATATAGAGAGCTCATACGTCTTAACAAAAAGAAGATAAACAATCCATTAAAAAATGTGCAAAGGACTTAAATAGACATTTTTTTTAAAGTGGACATACAGAAGGCCAAGAGACATATGAAAACATGCTCAAAGTCACTAATCATCCAAGAGATACAAATCAAAACGACAATGAGATACCATCTCCCACCTGTCAGAATGGCTAGCATCAACAAATCAACAAATGACAAGTGCTGGCAAGGATGGGCTGAAAAGAAACCCTTGTGCACTGCTGATGAGAATGCAGACTGGTGCAGCCACTATGGAGAACAGTGTGGAGTTTCCTCAAAAAATTAAAAATGGCCAAAACCGGTTTGACTCAGTGGATAGAAAGGTCCCAGGTTCAATTCCGGTCAAGGGCATGTACCTTGGTTACGGGCACATCCCCAGAAGGGGGTGTGTAAGAGGCAGCTGATTGATGATTCTTTCTCATCAATGTTTCTAACTCTCTCTTCCTCTCTGTAAAAAATCAATAGAGTGTATTTTTTTAATTAAAAATAGAACTCTCATTTGACCCAATAATCCCACTTCTAGGAATATATCCCAAGACATTAGAAACACCAATCAGAAAGGACACATACATCCCTATGTTCATAGCAGCACCCTCTCTCTTCCTCTCTGTAAAAAAATCAATAAAATATATTTAAAAAAAAAAAAAAAAAAAAAGACCTTGGCCAAACCGTGCCAGGAAACCATAAGACCTGGCTTAAATAATCACCAATTGCAGTGCCCAGATCTGGGCAGTGCCCAAAGGAATAATTAACGTAAGTCATTTCAAACTTATGTATTGTAGACCCTTTTTTGGGTTCCTCTCAAATTCTAGGATACCCAGACCCATTTATAAAAACAGGCTGTTAAACATATTATTCAACTAGGAAAGGTAACAACACACATATGCTAATCTGATTTTACTCATACCAATTAATACTGGGCTACACCCATATGATCCAGGGAACGGTGCATATTTTAAAACCTGGAAATCAGGATTCTTGCAAGATCAATCAAACCCAATATAAACAAGTCCTCATTTGGTGTTCTTAACAATTCATTCTCCTAAACTACAAGATAATAGCTTCCTGGATACCTTCCTCTAGGGTTATGTCAGCTAAACACCACTCAGTGAGAACAAAGAACTAGACCCACACACAATTAACTGTTATGTAGCCATGGGGTGGGGGGGTGCGGAGGAAATCTTGCCATTTGCAATAATATGGATGGACTTTGAGGGCCTTACGCTAATGAAGTAAGTCAGACAGAAAGACAAATACTGCATGATCTCATTTTCTGTTTTACAGTAAGGACAGGTGACAATTTGTCTTCACAGTAGTATGGAAGGAAGCCAACGGAAGGGAATCCTTGTTTTCTCACCTGTAGAGATGGGAGAACCAGGCCCCACCTGACAGATGACTGCACCGTTTTCCAGAGGAAACCCTTGCAAGTAGTGCTTGCACATTCCTTTCTCAAAGCTCTGCATTTCCCTCTCAGCTCTCTCTGGACTCGACTCTAGCAGGTGAATTAGACACAGTCACTGCCTCAGGAGTATACAAAGCAATACATGTTGAGTGCTGCAGCCTGAAGAATGAAATGCTTTAGAGGTTCCCAGATTAAAAGGGGATGGGGGATGGCTTGTCTGGGGATCGCCAATAATATGGAGACATGCAAAGACATGCACTTTGACAGGCAAGCATACCACACAATGTTTATTTTTACATAATAAATAAGTGGCAAAGGGAATACAGGAAAGGAAATATTAATGAAATCCAAGTCACTAAAGTGCTTTCCAATATAAATTTTAAAAGACCAAGGAACCTGGTCTGATCTTAAAACACTGTTTATAAATAACCAACAATTTTTTAAATACGGCCCATGTTATTTCCAAGAGAAAGGGGAAAGCATGCTTTGTGTTGTTGGGTTGTTTGTTTGTTTGTTTGTTTGTTTGTTTTTGCAAACTCCAACACACATAGCATATCAAATGTAACTCAGGAGAATGCAAAAGTATTGCCTGGTAAGAAAATCAAAATGTCTGAAGTCAAGCTCAAGATAAAGGTAATATATCTCATTCATATGTCTGCATGGGGTCTTCACTACTTATGAAGACATCTGATTCTCAGGAAGTTAAGTAATTTTGTGTTTTCAAGTTCAGAGTGAGGACATCAGACTTAACCTACTCATTGAACCAACTCTCAAATGATGCCCAGCAGTGAAAATGCTGTTTGAATAAAAATCTTCCCTCCTCAAGTTCCACAGAAGACAATGAAATGTTTACACCCCATTAACTGGCTCAAGTGTCTTTCAGGAGTGATTTTCACTCTAGAACAAAATGGAGTTTCCCCCCCCCCCCCCCCCCCCCCCCCCCCCCGAGTCACCCATTCATCTTCTAAAACAAATGGCATTGAATTTTATCCTGACACTAGCAAGAAATCCAACTGAGAGGATTGGTCCTGGACAACGTTTGTTTTCTGAAAAAGCCACAGTGAAGAATTTCCTCCCTGTGAGGGTGGGGCCTGTAGGCCTCAGAAGGCTCCCACCTTCCTAGGCTGGAGCCCCTCAGAGCCTGGAGCACCGGTCCCCTAGGGCACTGTCTTGGTTTCCTGCCATGCGGGGCTGGAGAGATCCATGGCAGCATCCTCCACGTTATTCTCAGGGCTGGCTTCATTGGAGACTCTCAGGGACCTGGCCTCACTTGGACTAGAATCTTCCTTGAGGTGGTCAGGGCCCCAGAGTCCAGCCAGCTTTTCTTCATTTCCTGGTTTCCTTATCATCCCTGAGGATTTTTTATGCATCCCTTAAAAAAAAAAGAAAGAAAGAAAGAAAGAAAGAAAGAAAGAAAGAAAGAAAGAAAGAAAGAAAGAAAGAAAAGGAAAGGAAAAAGAAAAGGGGGGGGGGGGAAACAGATATCTTTAGGATTAGCAATTAACTGACCACCTTCTCTGTTCTTTCTCTCTAAGTCCCTTTTAGAATTGCCCTTGTCAGTACCTCTCTCTGGCTCCTCAGGAGAGTCACGAAGGTAACTCCCCTGTTAGGGGTTGGAAGCTGGTGTGTGCCAGCCAGGTGCAGCCAGCAAAGCTGCCTTGTTTAGATGATATAGGGACTTTAAATTTTTTATTTTGAAAATTGTTTCACAACATTTTAAAATCAGGAGATTATAAATCAAAAGCCAGACTTCCAGCTTCTCTCAAAAAGTCAGAATGTCTGGCAGCATTGGTCCCAGTTTCTCTTTTTTCTTTTTTTCTTTTTTTTAAATATATTTTATTGATTTTTCACAGAAAGGAAGAGAGAGGGATAGAAAGTTAGAAACATCAATGAGAGAGAATCATTGATCAGCTGCCTTTTGCACTCCCCCTACTGGGGATGTGCCCCAAACCAAGGTACATGCTCTTGACCGGAATCGAACCTGGGACCCTTCAGTCCTCAGGCCAATGCTCTATCCACTGAGCCGAACCGGTTTCGACGGAGCCCAGTTTCTTGTATGGCTATGGACAGCAGATGCCAGTAGGCACTTCCACCCACACACTCAACCCCTGGTCCTATAATCTCAGAGGGATGAGCTTCATTTCCCACTGGATTTTCTCTCTCAGCCTCTTCCTTACCTAGGAGCCAGGGCGCACAGAAACCGGCCAGGCTGTCCTCCGCGGAGTTGAGGACAGAGTCCGGCAGAGGGATGCAGTGTCGCACCATGGCCCCATAGAGCCCGTACTCGGCCATCACGCTGCTGCCGCCCCAGCGCTTCTCCTGCTTCCGCCACCTGGCCCTCCGATTTTGAAACCAGACCTGGTGTGAGGCAGAAGACACGGTGACTAGGGCTCTTGGCTGTGTCCCTGAGCTGGGAGTTCTAAAACGGGCCAATGCAGGGAACTCATACAGTCCAAGACCTTTCAGTAACTATGCCCACTGTTCACTCAACGCTCACAGGAACTTGTTGTAGGGAAACGTGTGACCACTTTCCACTGAATTTTTCCATCGAGTTGACAAAAAAAAGTAAAGTATTCTCTCCCACATAGTGTGAAGGCATCAACTGTAATGTTTTCTGGCTTTTCTCATGGTTTGGAAAGAGGTCGTTCAGTCAATGGCCCATTCTAATCTCAGGTTGTTGGGTTGCTGGTGATATTTCTCATAGGAAACAGCTTGATAAAGGAATAGTATGGAATATTGTTTCGCTGTTAAAAAAAAGGGGGGGTGAGTTTGTGGCATATCTTCTGACCTGGACAAATGTCCAACATGTGCTGTAAGCAAAGAGGCAGAGTTGCATAATATGATACATTTTTGTAAAAATAAGACAAAATTATATGTATATGTGAGTATATATATTGTTCAGGGCCAATATACACTGAGTGGCCATTATTATGATCTCTGAATACATAATAATCTGGCTAGATAGTGTATATCCTATATAATAAAAGGTTAATATGCAAATTGTCCCCTCAACTAGGAGTTCTACCATGTCCCCTCCCCCTGGCCAGGCTGGCCAGACCCTACCCATGCACTAATTCATGCACCGGGCCTATAAAATACACACACACACACACACACACACACACACACACACACTCACTGAGTGGCCAGATTATTATGCATTCAAGGCAATGTGCAAAAAGGCCACGTCAGGTTACTTATATTGTTTTCTTTGAGGTTATATAGGGATGGGCAGTCACTTCCTTTTATTGATATATTTTTATATAGTTTCTTGTGGCAGCACACAGCATTGTGATTTTAAAGAATGACTTAATAAAAGAAAAAGAGGCAAGAAGGTTACAGGGGGTATCCTCTTACATAGACATAAGGAAGGTTCTAGCACTATGGTGCCTGTGGCTGAGTGGCCCTCAGTTTGCCTGTGCGAGGGAATGTGTGTTTGGCTGTTCAGATGTGGCCGTGGGTCACACTGGCTGTGAGGTTAACATGTTCTCTAGGGTGTCTTCGGGGAGGAGAAAGGAACCCCGGACACCTGTATTCGGTCCTCAGGGAGCTCCGTTTTCATGGCCAGCATCTCCCGGGCATACACATCAGGGTAGTGCGCCTCGCCGAACGCCTTCTCCAGCTCTTCCAGCTGCTGGGCAGTGAAGACAGTCCTGAGGGAGGCCCAGGACACATGGTCAAAGGAGGATACCAGGCTTCCCAGCGTGGGGACTCTGTGCCTACCTCCCCTGTTGTCCACACCCCAAAAGGCCACCTCATAATAACCGAATACCCCACTTCAGAATGATTAACCTTTGGAAAGTTTGGTTCAAATAAGATAGCTCTTCAGCATGTTTTTTCCCCTCCTCATGTAGTCAGTCACCAACTCATTCTAAGACCCATTTTAAAGATCCACAAACTTGTGTCCTTTAAATGCTGCGAAGATTGTCCTGCAGCCTCTTGGGATTTGCAAAATTATTTTCCTAAATAGTTACTGTACCCTTCCCATTGCCCACCTGGGGCCCACTGGGCTTCCTCTAATGCGGGACCACCCACTCTCAGATGCTGTGTGTCCCAGGGAAAGGGTCAGAGAGGATGGCCTGGCCCTGTACCTGTGCCGCCTCTTCTTCCTCTTGCCAGGGCTGAGTGACACCTTCAGGTTACTCCTGTTTTCAGGTAGGCTTTCCTCATCTGTTGGCATAAGGAGAAAGAGAGGACTTTATAACAGTGAGCATATTCTTCACTTTATTTTCTGCATTTTAAAACTATGAACTTGTTGCAAAATGTGAGTAATATTTAGCGTAAAACAAGCTAGCATTTTTAGCACTCACTACAATCCATGTTCTGTGCTCAGCATTATTCCTGCATTATTGCCATTCTTCTTCATAAAATTAGAGAAGTCCGATATAGCTGCTGTTAGTATCCTATTCCTACAGATGAGGAAACTGAGGCACGGAGAGATTGAGTTATCTGTCCATGGTCACACAGGTAATAAATGGTCACGTTGGGATTCAAACCCTAGATTGTGTGAAGCCAAAGCTATTTGGCAACTAATCGAATTTTCTATCCCCAGTCAGCTCTCAAATTCATCTACTTCCTTCGGCTTCCAACTTCCTTATCTTAATCAGCACACCAACATTTCTCAAAGGTGGGCTGAAGTTTGTGACATCAGAACTCTTGTCGAAGGTGCACCCCTGCCCTAGCAGGTTTGGCTCAGTGGATAGAGCATCAGCCTTTGGACTGAAGAGGTCCAAATTTGATTCCGGTCAAGGGCACATGCCTGGGTTGCAGGCTCCATCCCCAGTCGGGGGAGGGCAGGAGGCAGCCAATCATGCTTCTCTCTCATCATTAATGTTTCTATATCTCTCTCCCCCTCCCTTTCTGATATCAATAAAAAATATATGTTTTTAAACTGCACTCCTTGCCCTGCTATACCAGTTCTGAATCTCTGGAGGTGGGGTCCAGAAACTCATTCTTGATAAATATGCCTAGGTAAGTCTTAGGTGCACTTGAAAAATATTAAGAACACTACCATGCTTTATCTCTTGATAGCCTTTATATTAAAAGATCTATATAAAAAGGAAGGTTAGAATATCAAACTATTGTAAGATTCATTGTTAAAAAGCATTTTTGCCTCAAAGTATGAAAAATAAATTAAAGGAAAAATAATATTAATTTTATTCCAACATCAATTCACTTACCAGAAGACTGTATGGTTAGATTATAATACCCATGCTGTATTAACACACATAAATGAACATATGAAATGTGGCTGGTCCAAACTGAGACCTGCTAGTAAATGTAATATATTCTGTTGATTTAGAAGGCGTACTACCCCAAAAGTAAAATATTAATAGTCTTTAGATTCATTATATATAAATTTATTTTATGTGTATTGGATTAAATATAGTATTTAAATTAATTTCACCTGTTTATTCTTCCTTTTTATCGTGTGGTTCAGTTGGTTGGGTTGTACAATGCAGTGAACAGTTGCTGGCTTGATTCCCAATCAGGGCACACACCTGGGCTGTGGCCCCAGTAGGGAGCATGCAGGAGGCAGCCAATTGATGCTTTGTTCTACATGGATGTTTCCCTCTTCCTTCCTCTCCCCCCCAAAAAAAAATCAATTAAAAAGCTTTTTAAAAAGATAAATTTTCTTCACACTCTCAGTCACATATATCTATTGGGTAGCATTGCTCTTGGAATTTCTTCCAGAAATTCCCTCACAGACTAAGATTTAGTTGCATTTTGCTTTTCATTTTATCAGTGCCCACAGAGAAAGATCCCATCCTATCTAGACGGTTTCTGCATTTTTGGGGGGAGGGAATGGGAGTATTAATTGAGGGTTCAATTTATTTTATAGACTCATGAAATAAAGTCCTTTTGGAGTTGAGCAAAAGCGCACTTGCCACTGCCTTCCTTTTATCAGTGGAGACCCAATGTACTCTTTTTTTTTTCTAAATATATTTTATTGATATTTTTGTTTGTTTGTTTGTTTTACCGAGAGAAAGGAAAAGGGATAGAGAGTAAGGAACATCTATCAGCTGCCTCCTGCACACTCCCCCTGGGGATGTGACTGCAACCAAGGTACATGCCTTTGACTGGAATCGAACTTGGGACCCTTAACTGAGCCAAACCAGTTAGGGCCCAATGTACTCTTTTTGCCTTGGCTGCCTGGATGCTCAGCTCTAGATTCTACTGCATAGTTTCTCTGACTCCAGTTTTCTTGTGTAATTTTCCCTAACACCTTAAACGCTTGTATCTTGGCCCTTGTCCTCTAAAGAATGTTATTGCTTCCTTCTCTTTCCCTATCATCCACATTGATGTCTTTGAGGAAACAGGTGGGCTCAGAACAAAATACTAAGCCTAACTGCAATGAAATTGACCAGGTTGCTTCCTTTCTCAAGAGTAGGGAGAAGGAAGGGCGCCCGGGAGGTAGACAGACCCGCAGCTCCAGGCCCAGCACTCTTCACGGACCTCAACTAATTCTGCAAAGGTGTGAGCGCCCCGGGCTACCGGGTTCTGTGCTGCTGGTGGGAAGGCAGGCTCAGGCCTTCCAGACCTACGCGGCTCTCAGGGTAGAAATTCGCGCGGGGTGGTGGGGAAAGGCGCTGGGCAGAGCCAGACCAATCCCGGACACTCCAGACCCCCAGGACAGGCCCGAAACCCGGCGGCAGTGATGTTCACCAGAAACCCGGGATAGGCAGGAATTTAGGAAGAGGCAAGAGCGGGTGCGGGTGAGGGTGCGGGGATGCGCCTCCCCTGGACCCGGCGGACCTGGGGTCCAGACCTCCCTTAGATCTAGGATAAGGTGTCCCGCTTTGGGCGGGACAATCTCCATTTTCAACAATTTTTCCCACGTCCAGCGGCGTTTTAAAAAAAAAAAAAAAGTCCCGATTTTTGAAAAGATCGGAAAGATTGGAAAGATTCTTTCCAAAAATCGGGACTTTTTTAAAACGCCGCGGGACGCGGGGAAAATTGTTAAAAATCAGGACTGTCCCGCCAAAAGCGGGAGGATCTGGTCACCTTAATCTAGGACGCTGGGGGTGGGATGACGCTGGGGGTGGGATGACGCTGGGGGTGGGATGATGCTGGCGGTGGGATGATGCTGCGTTACTCCTGCGCGGCCCGAACCCGAGGGAACAGGGTCAGGAGGGGATGGGATGGCCCGGTTACCCGACGTGGAGACGCTGTCGCTGCGCTTCTGGCGGCCCCGCGGGGACAGCGGGCGGCGGCGGGCCGGCGGCGGGGCCGGCGCCGGGTCCGGGCGCGGCGGGAGCGGCACGTCGGCGGCGAGGAGCAGGCGGGGTGCCCGGGCGGCCGCGGGGGGCTGCGCGCCGAGGCCGCAGAGGAGGCCGAGCCCCAGCGGGAGCGGCCTGAGCGCCAGGCGGGGGCCGCCGAGCCCGGGGCTGGGCCGGGGCGCGGCTGCCGGGCCCCCGCAGCCCGACGCCGGCCCGGGCCCGGCCGCAGACGGCGGCTCGGCCTCCAGGCCCAGCAGGTCGGTGATGGCGAAGCCGCGGGGCCGGGGGCGCGGGCCGGCGGGGGCGCCCAGAGCGCGTCCCTCGGAGAGCGCGTCGCGGCCGGTCATGGGGTGTCGGTCGCGGAGGTCGGGCCCTCGGCCGGTCACCATCGCGAAAGGGGCTCGGCTGGGAGGGCGCTTTATATAGCGGGGCCCCCGTCGGGCGCGGACGGCCAGGGGGGCTCCCATCAGCCCGGCGGGGGCTCATCATCGCCGGGGACCCCGCGAGCTGGGACGCCAGCAGCTCCCCGCCCTCCGGGCGCCGCCCTCGCAGCTGCAGCCCCCTCTGCTCCCACCTCCTCCCAGCTGTCCCCCTCCTCCCCCCAACACCACCATCACCACCACCACCACCACCCCCGTTTATGGTGGGAGGAAACAGGGACCCCGCTATCTGCCCGTCCCTCTAAAAGCCGAAGGTTTCAGTGCGCGTGGAATTCCCTTCCCTTCCAGATCCTCTGGGTGGAGGTTGGGGTCGCAGCGGCCCCCGAAGCCTCGCTCCCACCAGCCGGCCGCACACGGAGACCTCGGGCTCCGTTCACAGCCACGCTCCCCCGGAGGCGGCGGGCACGACCCCCGCCAGCGCTCCCCGGCACCGCGGGCACCAAGAAGGGCCTCCCCCCCCCCTTCCCAAACCACCAGCGTTCATGTAACCCCTGCCCACTCTGCCTCCGGGCACATCCACCCCCTGGTGCTCCCCGGTCACAAAGCTGCTGTGAACTGGGGGGAAGGAGAGACAGAGACAGGCAGGAGTGGAGTGACCCGCTAGCAGGTGGCAGGTTTAGCAAACTGCATGACTGGAGGTCCGAAGGTCCGTGAACCTGACATTGCAGATAAGCAATGAAGACTTTTTTTAATTTTTTAAATATATTTTATTGATTTTTCACAGAGAGGAAGGGGAGAGGGATAGAGAGCTAGAAACATCGATGAGAGAGAATCATCGATCAGCTGCCTCCTGCACACCCCCCACCAGGGATGTGCCCGCAACCAAGGTCCATGCCCTTGACCAGAGTCAAACCTGGGACCCTTCAGTCCGCAGGCCGACGCTCTACCCACTGAGCCACACCGGCTTCGGCATGAAGACTTTTTTAGTATGAGTATGTGCCAGCATTCCTTCTTGCAGCCCTCACTGGGGGTAGTGGGGAGTTCATTGGAAAATAGGGATTGTGCATTGGGACAGAGAGCTTTTCTCGGAGGCTGACACATTACTACTGTCAGTTTATGATCTGTCCAAGAAAGCCTGGTTTTCATGTTCAAGTTGGAGCCAAGCACAGCATGTGGGGAAGCCAGTCCTTGCCGACACGCCGGAAATTGGAGCCCTGAGCCCACTCTTCCCAAACCAGGAACCGGGAAGCAGCCTCTCCGAGCAGTCACTCCGCGAGGAGATGTCACCCCAGAGGAGGCGGCCACTCTGCGGGCCCGGCCGGACCCAGGGCTCCTGCGCTCCCCGCTCCCCGCGGAGCCGGGCCCGCGAGGTGGGCCTCCCTCCAGCGGGGCCTCCGGGAACGTGCGGATTAACCGCGGGGCCTCTGGTAGAGATAATTACTAAAGGCTGAGCATTAACTCTCACGAATTAAAGGAAGACCCAAATCTCCCCTCCAAAGCTGTCCCCGGGATTAGCAAAACAATAACTTTCCTTCGGGGTAATTGCCCTTGGAATTGCTCCGGGGCGGGGCGGGCGGCTTGGACGCTGGCGTCACTTTCGGCTTCGGGCAGGGGTCCCGGAGTCTCCCTCCCCGGCCTCTGCCCGGGGCGGCGGGGGTCGCCGGAGGGCCCCATCTTCGGGCGCCCCGCACGGTGGCGGCGCACACGGAGTGCCAGGAGCACTGCGGAGGGATCCTACAGCGCGCATTTCCAAAGGAGATGACCTGAGGCTGGTGAATGCGCTCACCCTGGACACGGAGAGAGACACCCAGCTAGAGAAGCAAGAGGCCTGAGAAGGAGGCAGGGCTGGGGGCCTGGGGACCTGGCAATTCCAGGATAGAAGCGTCCCTAACGCCTCCTGCGGCCCCACCTGCGGGGAGGGGCCCGAGGGACATGGGGGTAGGATTGGGGAGAGCTGAACCCTGGCACCCCTTCCTTTGCGCAGCATTTTCACTGCGCCCTCCCCCGTGAAAATTGCTTTTCCTACCACCACCACCACCCCCGCCCTGCTGACCCGCCCCCGGCTACTGCTGGAGATCCACGGTCCTCCCCAGCGCGACTCAGGGGATCCGCTCAGAGCCCCAACCCCTGAGAACAGCTCAGCAGCTATTTTCCAGGGAAGGTTTCCACGCCCCCTTTGTGGCCAACCACAAATGTGAGCTCCACTTCCCCAGCCCCTCACACACACACACACACACACACACACACACACACACACACTCACACACACAGCCGAGTCCCAGGCTGGCCTGGCTTGGGCGCCCATAAATGGACCCTGGATGGGGTGTGAGTGGCTCCACAGAGCCAGGATTAGGCTTTCTGGAGTTGCCGCTGGCAGGCTGGCAGGATAAAGTACAGGCACAATGGAAGTGGGATGCACGGTTGCACGGTGCTTAAAATGCATCGCCTTGTGATTGTCCACACAAACATCCCCTGGCTCCCTGCCTCTTCTGATCTCCCTCCACCTCTCTGTCTGTCCTTCCCGTTGCTTTTGTGTCCCCTTTAAGGATCCTTGTAGCAGATTCTTGTTTTGCCCTGTCCACATCTCATGCCCTAACCACTGGGCCTACATGCCCATCAGGCCTCCAGTACTCCCCTCCCCACGTCTTCTCATTTCTTTATTTTTTTGTTGTTTCCCTTCCCCAAGGAGATGTGTCAAATATATATTATTAAGAGAGATTTTACTGCTTAGGTTTTCTTCATGGATTTTTAAGGTTTTAATCTAACATCCAAGTCTTTAATCCATTTGAGTTCATACTTTTTTAAAATATATTTTATTGATTTTTTACAGAGAGGAAAGGAGAGGGATAGAGAGTTAGAAACATCGATGAGAGAGAAACATCAATTAGCTGCTTTCCTGCACACCGCCCACTGGGGATGTGCCTGCAACCAAAGTACACGCCCTTGACTGGAATCGAATCTGGAACTCTTGAGTCCGCAGGCCGACGCTCTATCTATCCACTGAACCAAACCAGTCAGGGCTGAGTTCATACTTGTGTATAATGTAAGAAAGTAGTCTAGTTTCTCCCCCTCCCTCCCTGCCCCTTAACGGGACAATTTACCCAACACCATTTACTAAATAGTTTGTTGTTACCCCATTTTATGTTTTTGTTTTATTTGTCAAATATTAGTTGACCATGTAAGTGTAATTTCATATCTGGGTAAGAGTATATGCTTGATATTATTTCAATCAACTTAATTTAGTTTTGTGATCTAACAGAGGTCTCTCCTAGAAAACGTTCCATGTGCACTTGAAAAGAATATGTGTTTTCTGCTGCTTTGGGGTGAAATGCACTGAAGATATCAATTTAATGTATCTGATCTAGTGTCATGTATGGCTACTGTTTCTTTCTGGAAGATCTATCCATTAATATCAATGGGTGTTAAAATTCCATACTATGACTGTGTTACTGTCAATCCCTCCCTATATGTCCTTCAACATTTGCTTATTATATTTAAGTGCTCCTATGTTGGGTCCATAAATGTTTACAATGGTTATATCCTGTTGTTGGGTTGATTCCTTTATCATTGCATAGAGTTCTTCTTTGCCTGTTAATATAGTATGTTCTTTTAAGTTTATTTTGTCTGATATAAGTAATATAAGTATTGCTATCACATCTTTTTTTTTTTTTTTGCCATTTCCACTTCCTCGAAATATCTTTTTCTATCCCTTTATTTTTATCTCTGTGTGTTTCTTGTTCTGAGGTGGGTCTCTTGTAGAAAGTATATACATTAGTCTTGTTTTCTTATCCATTCAGCTACCCTATGCCTCTTTTTCTTAATCCTCACTCCAACAATGAGCATATTTTTCTACTAATTTTTTTTTTCAGAGAGTGGAAGGGAGGAGAAATGTGGAGAGAGAGAGAGAGAGAGAGAGAGAGAGAGAGAGAGAGAGAGAGAGAGAGAGAATGTGAGAGACACATCAATTGGTTGCCTCCCACATGAGCCAAACTGGGGATAGGGATGGAACCTGCAATCCAAGTATACACCATTGACTAGGAATCAAACCCATGATCCTTCTGTACACAGGCCACTTCTCTAACCACTGAGCATGCCAGCCAGGGCTACTCTATGTCTTTTTATAGGAGCATTTATGCCATTAACATTTAAGTTGATTATTGATATGTATGTATTTACTATCATTTTATTCTTTATAACTATGTTTCTCTTCTTTTTCTTTCATTTTTTAAAATCAGACCATTGAACATTTTTTGTAATACTGATTTGGTGGTAATGAACTTTAGTTTTTTGTTGTCTAGGAAGCTCTTTATTTCTCCTTCAATATTAAACTATAATCTTCCTGACTAATGTAGTCTTGGTTATATGTCCTTGCTTTTCATCTCTTTGAATATTTTGTGTCGATGCCTTCTGGCCTTAAATGTTTCTGTTGAGAAATCAGCTTACAGTCTTATGGGAATTTCCTTGTAGAAATTTTTTCTTTTGCTACTTGTAAGGTTGTCTTTTTGTCTTTAACTTTTGCCATTTTAGTTATGAGGTGTCTTATTTTGAGCCTCTTTGGGTTCATCATATTTGGGATTCTGTGCTTTCTGGACTTTTGTCTTTTTCCTTCATCAGGTTAGGAAAGTTTTCAGTCATTATTTTTCAAATAGTTTATCAATTTTTACTTTCTTATTCTCATACCTTCATGATGTGAATAATGTTACACTTCATGTTGTCCCAAAGGTTCTTTAAATTATTCTTACTTTTTAAATTCCTTAAAAAAATTTTTTGCTACTCTGATTGGTCATTTTTCTTCTAACTAATTTTCCAAATCACTCAATCAATCCTTTTAGAAGCAGGTTTTTCATAACAATATTACTCATTTGTCCTGATTACATTCCCCAAATCTTGTTTTTACTTTATCATTTCTTATCGGACAACTTAATCAGGTACTATTTTAATATGTTAAATCAAATAGTAAGAAATTA